AATCCCAGAACCTTATCATATTTATAATTATAGTTTAGCATGTTTGCATCATAGATCGTATAAAAGACGGGCATGACGTGAAAAAGGAGGGAGGAGAGTCCGACTATAAAACCATTTACTCACTGCCAAAGACTCAATCACAAGTCATTTGTCAGTTAGCATATAATTTTGAAAAAAGTATGACCAAAAATTCAGAAGTCTTTTTTTAGCCTCATCTAGTGCTATCAAGTGTACTTAATAGAGCAATTATTAGCAACTAGACATGCTTTCTGAGCTGTTCACTGAAATACTTACACTCGACATCTATGTATAGAGTTACGGACTGTGCTGGTCCATACAGATTCTCAGCTTTGCACGAGTAGTTCCCGCTGTCCTCAGAGCTGATGGAGGATAAATGGTACCTTCCCACTGGTCCATGAAGCAATAATTTGTTCTCCTTGTACCAGGTGTAATTAGCTGCTGGGTTAGCATCACTGCTGCAGGTAAGATTGACTGAACTGCCCTCCACTATCTCAGCAGAGGGACTCACTGACACAGAGGCAAGCTTTGGAGGATCTGGAGGAGAAATAGAAAATATACTAAAAAACATGTATTCCTGTTCCTGTTTGACCCCAGAATTTGTGACATATTAAACCTTTTCTATAGCTGAATATTGATACAGGTTTCAGACCTGCAGCATTTACTCGGACTCTATGACTGTATCGGGGTTTGTAAGGTGTGGCCTTGTTTGGTTGTAAAAAAAAATTGCTGTTAAAACTATTAATTCTGCAAAGAAAACTGTCTTCACTCACATTTCACATTGATAAAGATGACTTCAGATGGTCTTTGACCCAGCTCATTCTTAGCGGTACAATGATACTCTCCAGAGTCAGAAGACTGGATGGAGCTGAAGGTGAGCTGTTGTTCTGTATTGACTGGTTTTTTATCCTTGTACCAGGTGTAATTAGCTGCTGGGTTAGCATCACTGCTGCAGGTCAGATTCACAGAGCTACCCTCCACTATCTCATGAGAGTTATTCAGCACCAGTACTGAAGCAAATTTTGGAGCATCTAGAACAGAGAATATAAAGATTGATTAGATTAGATTTGATTTTAACAAACACAGTAAATAAAGCAATTTAATTATCAGTCATTTTCTGAATCTGTTATCTTCAGCATATAAACGTGTTTTGTATAGATCAATCGAGTTTCTCAGTCTTACCACTCATGTTGCATAAATTCACAGGACATACTTTACATCTGCAACCAACCCTCTGTGTAGTCAGAGCACTGCTGCTTATCTCTTGTTCAAAATTGCCACACAGGTACAAGTACCGCAATGCTCATTACATTGGTAATGGTATCTTCTAAATTAATTAAGCATGCCTTTCAAAAACAAATTTAATGATGATATGATAAGGCTATAATTCAGGTTGGTTGGATTAGGCAAAAAAATGATTTTCTCAGCTTTTAGAATTGATTGTTTCTGTTATGGCTGTGTGCAGGCAGGCAGAGAGGAAGGACCCAAAATGCAGGACTCACTGATACAAAGGTAAACTCAAAATAAACAGCTTTATTGCAGGTTGCAGACTGAACAGAAGACTAACTATACTGAGTAAAAAATAAACTAACAGGCAGGCAAAACAGGTAACGGAACACACAGCGTAAACTGAGGGTAAGCAGACACTAACGACGCAACAAAGAGCAAAGGCAAACACAGGGCTTATATACACTGGGGAGTAATCAGGGAATGGGAAACAGGAGGGAGACACAGCTGGGAGAAATTAGACTAACGAGACAGCGGAGCAGTAAAACTGAACACTCTGACATCAGACTGGGACTATCAATATAAAACAGGAAACACAGAACAATTTACAAAGACACAGACCTGACACTGAGGCAGACTGAAAGAATATGACACATGGAACTCAAAGACGACAGAGACTAAAAGAAGAATTAACATCAAACTAAACTCATAACCAGAACCAAACTGAAACCTAGACTAATAATAAGCAAAAAAGCATATCTTAAGAATCATAACATTACGGAGCCCGGCAAGGGACATGGGAGAAAAAAAAATTAAGACGGACATTTGCGAGATCTCGCAAAACAAACTCGGGATCTCGCAAAAGTGAAAACATTTCGAAGACCGCCTGCTCGAAGCCGACCGGGAGTTCGAGGCACGATGTGCCGGGAGAGTGGTGTTCCCCCCGGCTGTAGTAGGTCTCGACCTCCCATTAGCTTCGAGATGGTGGGTGTCAGACATCTCCGAAAACGTCGGAGCACTTTTGCAAATATGTGATGTCTTGTAAACCGAGCAGATATTTGACGTTTAAACAGCTACATTCACACCTCAAAATATCTTAAAAGTTTATTTTGTGACCCAGAAAGAGTAATATTACAACTAAGTAGCTGCCGCCATTGTTGGAATTCAACTTTTGCAAAGGTTTTGTGAGATCCCGAGTTAGTTTTGCGAGATTTCGCAAAAGTTCATCGTAATTTTTTTTCTCCCATGTCCCTTGCGGGGCTCCGTAGAACATAAATCATAATCTAGAACAGGGGTCGGCAACCCTAGGCACGCGAAGGGTTAACTGATGGCACGACCATAGCTGGACTTTCCATCGGGCATACCGGGCATTTGCTGGGTGGCCAGAAGATTTTTTTTTTTTTTATTGTAACAGTATAAACAATTAAAGGTGGTGGATTGGCCAGATGCTGGCCGATGTGTAAAAATAACTCAGTTGTTTGGTGGTGGCTATGGTGGAGCTTCCACAGATTCAGTAACATTAGCAAGTGGTGGAGGCCAGCAGGAGGATGAGGGAAGCAGAAGGAAAAGAGACCTGAGGCGGCCGCTGGTCCGAGTGTGAACTGAACTTCAGGTAAGAAGTTATGACCTGCAGTCTATCTGGGTCATATATAAACCAAGTTTAGGTGGAGTTTATTTACGTTGTGCTGACTTTTTACATTCAGTTACAATAACTCGTACTGCGTGAGCTAGCATGACGGAGTTTCTATACAGCTGGGTGGGTGCTTTGATGTTAGTGATACCATAGTGAACTTTATTTTATTCATAAGGTTTGTTAGTAGAGTTGCCAACTGTCCCGTAAAAAGACGGAATCGTCCCGCATTCAGAGAAAATATTTGCGTTTCGTGTTGAGCTGAGAAGGGATGCAGTTTGTCCCGTACTTCAGCTAGAATGTAAAAAAAACACACAAAGCTGGATTTATTCTGTGTCTTTGCTGCACAGCTGCCTCTTCTTCTCTCATTCTCTCCCCCTCTCTCTCCTGTTGCTACTTTAATCATGAAACTGATCAATGACCAGCTGATGGCTTTTCTCTCTTGTTTGTTTATCGCCCACTTTGCGCCAGAAAGAGGAAACCGCCGGATGTCGTACTAAACAACAGCTGCACATTTAAGCTTGATCAGCTGTTGTTAGAATGGGACTTTAGAATTTATTTAATATTAATTTCTA